GTAATTACATTATCAATGTGACTTGATTCTTAAGTTTTAAAGTCACTTGTCCTTTAAGTTTCTTTAGCTTCGGTATTGTATACCTAACCCCATTAGATACTGGGCCACGTCTAGGTAATGCCATGGTCATGAGTATGAATTTTCTTAGTTTCAATAATTCACAAAATTCAGGTGAATTGAAACCTGGCAATTAAAGTGACTTGGTGAGTTACTACTTATAATGCCACATTTTTTAGGTCTATGTATGTCTAATTATTTAGGTTGTTCCCTATTTTATTTCTCCATCTCCCCCAGAGGATTAGGGTTATCAGTCTTGCCCTTGATAGAAGAGTGTCTGGTACACATTTTGTCTTCTGTCTTCCTTGAGGTCTGTGCCCGCTGATGCATGGCCCCATCAGTGAGTTTCTGATTACCAAGTCCTCTACTCTGCATCTTCTGAATCTATGCTGCAAGGCCCCGTTGGATTCCTCTGTGGCTCTCTTAGGAAGCATGAGAAATTCCAGGTTTCCACTGCACTCCAGTTTAGGGTTATGGGAGACTGGAAGCAGCACGCATGGAAGGTGGGATAGGTGATTTCAGAATACGCTTCAGCAGCACTTACCATGTATGTATTTTCATGTATTGTGGCTGCCGTTAATGGTGTGGAACTCTCTGGGAGGATTACTTGTCTGAGTTCCAGTTGTCAAGCTGGGAACTAATTCTCCCTAATTTCACATCTCTAGCTTATCAAGGGAGGGTGGTCTCCACCAATTCCCCATGGGGCTGGACCCCTGGAGGAGTCACTGTGAGAATTCTTTTCTCAAGATTCTAAGCCAACAATTCACTCGATCTTCTCCAAGCTTCACAATAGCATGCCAGGAAAGGTTCTTATCTCCTTCTGCAGGGTGAAGGAAAAGCTCATATTCTACCACACACTCTTCCTTTGCGGTGGATTATGTTAAAAACTCTGTGTGTTTGGCACACCAGGGTGATTTACCTTTAAAGATACATTTTTTTGATGCTATTGTATGTTTCCTCTCAAGAGCCTGCTTTGGAATTCAAAGTTCAGAATCTGATTTACTGAATTCTGTTGCTAAATTTTCTGGTGCATTCTTTTTAAGACAAAAGCTTTAGTGTAAAGATAATTTTTAAATAGTTAAGCTTTCGCAGAGTAAAAGAAAGTGACAGGAAAGTAGACTACATCTGGTGATATTTTAAGGAATTCTACAGCTACTGCTAAGGTATTCAGTGAAATAACTTACAAGGTCTGCTCTAAAATCTTCCCTCTGGTGGAAACTGGTAAGAAGCTACGCATATTTTTCAAGATGTTAAATTGAAATAGTCTGGAAATTTATCAGATGGAGCAGATTTTTCTCTCCCTTCTTTCTTGATTTTGAGTGTATTCCTAGGCTATTGACTTTCTATGCCATCCCCTAAACTGGGAGGATGGATTGGCAAAATCCCAAACAACAAGCAATCCTTACAGTCACCTAATAGACTCAAACTGTCTCCTTGGGGAAGAAAACAAAAGCCCTGTGGCTAAAACTGTCAAGCCTGTGATCCTACAGCTCTGCAAGAGAAACTGTGGGAAATGTTGTTTCCTTAGATGGAGAATACATTGGATGACTAGAATGCCCTATTCCCAGCCTATTAATTCCTATGATTCAAGCAAAATGGGTCTGAAAAGGTACAGAGGAAATCAAATTTTCAGATAAGAAAACTAAAGACTAGTTATTCTAATATACCAAAAAGTGTTTTCTGAGGTTTAATAAATATTTGTTAATAATAAAATGCTACCACATTAAAAAGAATTAGTTTAATACTTATATGATCATGGACTTAAGTCCTGAGATATTGGAAATGAGTCAAAACACCCCAAGGTCTCCACGTTCATGATAGTAAACTTGTATTTCTTTCATAATTTTCATAGAACACTTAACAACGAAAGCAGTGCAAATGGAGATATTTTACTCTCAGAATGAGCTGTTGAAACTAAATTCAATTAGTTATTAGAATATTGCCATGGCAAGCATAGTTTATACTCCATAAATAAATAAAGCATGGCTAACTGATGTATGTATTTTGTACACATATACATATGTATATATATGTATGTGTATGTATATGTATATGATTTTTGAAAATTAAAAGATATTTTTACCCTCTAGAGGGAAGATCTCAAGTACTAGAGCAATTAGTCTCTCAAGCCACAGTGTCACATCATGTAGTGCTGGTGAGCAGTGTGGGGCTGGAGTCAGAATATCTGGGCAAAAACTATTTCCTAGCTCTGTGAGTTTGGGGAAGTTACTGAACCACTTTATGGAGCAGTAACCTCTTCTCCAAGATGAAAGCAATAATTGCACCTGCCCCACGGGGGATTAAATGGTTAAGACATGGCACCTATAAAGTACAAATAAATGTGAACTTTTATTATAATTACTAGTATATGCAAGGCTCCATGCTGGGTACTCTGAGGGATAAAAGTAAAAGATACACAGTCCCTACCCGTATATAGTTTACTATCTAATTAGGAACCTAAGCTACTTTCCAACATACAATTAAGTATTAATACCTGGGGAGAAAACCAACAGTTCAGTTTAGCAGCACAGACGAACATTTTTAATAAAAAGCTTTAGGGACTGGGTGACATTTCCAGAGCAGTATTTCTATACAGGGAGTTAGTTTCACATTGGTTTCCTTTTGCCTGATGCTTATCTCTCTGACATGCTGAAAACAGGTTCAAGGCAGATTGTATAATAAAGACTGCAGTGGCACAGCCGCAGTTAATCTTGCAGTAGCTTAGCCAGGCTGAGCATTCAATGACACAGATACTGAGGCTGGATTAGGGCTCCTGACAGCAGAGGAGGGTTGAGCTGTGAGTGCTCTGAGAAAGGGCCAACTGCTCAACACGGTTTATAGAGCAACAGTGGTTGCTTCAGCTGATTTTTGGATTACTCTGAGATACACAGAGTTCCAGTTAAATTGTGATTATCCGGCCTAAGAGGTAATTCTGCACAAGAATTGGTATAAAACAGTGCATGTCTAACTGCTGAACAATCATGCAGTGAACAGCTGGCTCTATGAGCTCAAGGATAGGGCTGCTTATCGTGGTCTAGGGTGGTTGTGAACAGCCTTGAGGGGAATTGATTAGGAAAGGCCTTTGACAAGATTTAAGGTGATTTCTGGACTAATTAATCCCTTTTAAGTCAAATATTAATTTTCCCAACTTAGTATCTTGTTACTCTAGATTTTTCACCAGCATAATGTTCCTGAATAGCACTCTGTAACGCAAGATAATTCTCTAATAAACTATGAGTTTAATAAAAATTATAGCTTCTATCTATAACATTGCATCAGTAGGGAAAGGGGGACATTTTGCATTTCAGACAAGCAGTTGATAGATCCAGTTTTAAAAACTGTTTTAATTCCCTCTTCCACTAAATAATTACTTACTAAGTGCTTTGGATGTGCCAGACACTGTGGTAGGTGGTGAAGGAATACAGAACAGCAAAACAAAAACAAAAACAAAACAAAGGTCTTGCCATCCTAGAGTTGATATTATGGAGAGAAGAGACAATAATAGACAAAAAAGCATAAAAATAATTATTATGGTGCACCGAGTGGTGATAAGTGATATGGGATAAAGAAAACCATAGAGTAAAGTACCTGAGGATGGGTGGCAATTTTAAATAAAATAGCCACTGAGGTGACATTTTAAAAATGGTGCAAAGGGAGCTGGCCATACTTAAATGACCCCAAGAAGAGTAACAACCTTCAAGCAGAAGTAAGATCTAGTGCGAGGGCCCTGTGGCAGGAATTTATCTACTGAGATCGAAGAATAGTAAGGAGACCAGTACAGTGGAACCTAGGTGATGTGAGACTGCTGCCCCACACCCTGATACTCTGTCATTCTAGAGGTAATGAGCTCCCAGGAGCTTTGGGGCTTGCCTCTTCTATTCTATTTTTATGTTTTGGTTCCAGGGATCAAACTCACAGCCTTGCACTTGCCAGGCATATGCTGTACCTCTGAGCTGTAACCCCAGCCCTTGCTGCTGCTTTAGCTGGCTGTGAGGGCTATTTTGTTCCCTTTGAACCTGAAAGTATTACCTTGAAAGGCTTCTTTTCGCACTATTCATGGTCTTAATACTTGGCTGCTCTATGGCTGCCTCTGGGAACACAAGGCAGTCTAGGTGCCTGGAAAATACTGTTTTGGTGCTTGAATGGTCATTTCCCTCTTTGACCACCTTTCTGCCTTACCCAATTACTGGAGCATTGATTCAAAAATTTCATCTAATCCTTTTTAAAATCGTAACCATTTTAAAACATAGATATACATCATGTTTTTCAGTGAATAGGAAAATAAATCCTAAGGCCCATAATATTGCTGGAGATCATTTAATGTTTTCTCCATGTAATGTTACTAATCAGCTGAATACTTTTACCCCAGTAGGGATTGCAATGATTTTTGTGGCAGATCTGAAGTATGCTCGTGTATCCACGTCCTAGCTTCTCACTAATGACCATCTAGTCATGTACCTTGAGGGACAGCCAAGCTCTGTAACCTAAGGTCATGGAGCTGTAGGACACAGGTGAGCTTCTAGGGAAGCTAATGCTTGCTAACTGGCGGGACTGACGTGTTTAGGTGCAGGGCAGTCGCTTACAAATTAGGCTTGGGGGGCTGGCCATTTGTCACCATAAAGTATAGGTTACTGAATCTCTGAAGTGTTGCTGGGCATCTCTGATCTGCAGTTTTATCATCAGAAAAATAAGAATGATAATAATACCTCCCTCGTAAGTGGAGATAATGCATATAATGCATCTAGTAATGTGCCAAGCAATATGATACTCAGAAAATATCAGCTGTGGTCATAGTTTGGTCGCAAGTCGCTGAGGTCTAGTATCATAGTACCCACATTCACATTTTCTGGAGCCAGAGCAAATCTCTAGGCAGAGGGCTTCAAGGGTGAGACACAGAGACCAACAACAGTCTCATCACGACAGATGCCACAAAACATCACTGAATGGATAGTGGTATTCAGAAGGTAGAAGGGGGCTGTCATGATGGCTATCTTGTACAAAAGGAACGAATGTGCTTTATGAGCTCCTGGGGACACGCAAGAGCTCCTCAAAGAGAAGAGGCCAACACATTGCATCCAGACTCGGAGAAGACTTTGCCACACGGAGAGCAAGTGAGGCTCCCAGCACGTGCGGCGGGCTAGTGCGCAGCCGCTGAGGCGGAGCCAATCACGCGGCGCGGTCCGCCCTCGCGCGACAGTACTGCGGTGCATTCGTGACGTCATCGGTTGCTATAGAGATTCACGCTCTGCAGACGCTCACTGAAGCAGGGGCGGCCGGGTCAGAACGTGACTGTGGAGAGGACTCGGCTGTCACCGTGAGCGCCCGAAGTAGAGGTCGAAAGTCCTCCCGCGGCAAAGCCCGAGTCCGCGCTGCTCCCGGCGACGCCTCTCGCGACCTGGGTCCGCCACAGTTCCAGAGCCCCGGGGAAGACACCCGGGTGGCATAGGTACAGACTGGCGCAGATGGCGGTGACTCGAAGGCGGCTGCTCCTGCGCTGGCCGTGCAGCCCAGGGTCGAGGACCAGGACACCTGCCGGCTGCTCTTGGACTGCGGCCTCGCGCTCAGGGCTGGGCTGCAGGGGACCCAGGGAGGGCCACGGCCTTCGCAGAGCGCCTGGCCCCAGACACCATCTTCGTGGGAACTGCGGGAGCTGTGGCGAAGCTGAAGTACCGACCCCGTGCCAGAACCTGGCATGGCCCTTCTGGAAAGAAAATGCCAGAAAAGCGCTGTAGCCAGGCGGGGTGGGAGCCTCAGGCTGCAGCTGGTGGGAAGCCAAAGAAAGGGGCGGCTGGGGAGTGCACCCCCGACTCAGTTGGGGAAGAAAGGAAAATGGGGGAGACACATTCTGGGTTGGGGCTCCTAGAGACCGAAGGCGACATGGACACGCTGGAGATGGTCCAGCTGAAGCTGGAGACCATGAACGTGCAGGCTTGCGCGCAAGTTCGGGCAGTTGCGACGACACCACTTGGAGTGCAGCAATGTCCTCATCAAGAGCATCCCGGGCTTTTGGGAGCAAGCTTTCCAAAACCACCCCCAGCTCTCTGCCTTTCTCAATGGCCACGATAAAGAGGTGCTAAGCTATTTGAACAGCTTAGAAGTAGAGGAACTTGGCCTCCTTAGATTGAGCTACAAGATCAAGTTCTACTTTGGCCCTAACCCCTATTTTCAAAATAAAGTGCTCATTAACGATAGGGTGTGGGCCTTCCGGTCAGGTGGTTTCTCATTCTACTCCAATCAGTGGCTCCCAGGGCATGATCTGCACTCCATGACTCAGGGAAACCCAGAAAAAAGCCATAGCTTCTTTGGGTGGTTTGTAAACCACACTTCTATTAAAGTCTGACAAGATTGTTGAGATAATCAATGAGGACCTATGGCCCAACCCTCTGCAGTTGAAGGGGCTGATGGAGAGAAAGCAATGGAAGCCAGGCCAGGCCCAGCAAAGCAGCCAGGGGAGATCCCACGCCTAGAATAAAACTGTCCGACTGATCCTGTGCGAATCTCTCTATTACCTCCTGCGGGACCAGTTCGTGGCTCTCTACATGTGTCCTTCATCTTGGTTTCTACGTGCTGTAGTCCATTTGGACTTTAGCCAGAATATGGCACTTAATAACATGTTCTTTTGCTTTGCTGTGGCTTTCTTTTTTTTTTTTTTAAATAATAGTGTCGCATGTTATGTGATCTCATCCTGCTGTTTCCGTGTAAAGCACTTATGCTTGAGGTGTGTACTGCCTTTCTGTACATTGCCTCAACCCTAGGTTTGTTTGTTTGTTTGTTTTGGTTCTGGGGATTGAACTTACGACCTTGCACTCACCAGGCAAGTGCTTGAGCCACTGAGCTAAATCCCCAGCCCTCGACCCTGTTTTTGACTCTGGCCTTCTCCCCTTAGCAGTAATATAAACATTCTCAAGTCATTCTTCGGGAGGCCCAGAGCATCCTCGAGCTCTGCTGCTTCATGGCTGGTGGCTTGCTGGGCTGCAGGTTCATCCTGGCCATGCACTTTATCAATGGGAAGCTTTACTGTTCCCGCTGCAAAATTAAGCCAATGCATGTGACTAGCCAGAATTTATTGTCATGTGAGTTTGGGAGTACCAGCTAAGATGCCACCTACTTATTTCCAGCTTTGGCGAGCAGAATGGCACTTGACTGCTGGGCTTCAATGGGTAGTATGCCACGTATTCCATCGCGTGTCTTCTTGCCTCTGAGCGTGTCTGCTGATGAACCTTTGCTTCTGGCTAAGCCAGGTGACTCTCAGACCACTAACTTTTGTCTAGATTGCTGTTGGCCCTTGTTGGCTTCCTGGTCAACAAGGACCTCAGGAACTGCCTATTGACTCAAGCACCTGCCAGTGCATGAGACACACACTAGCCTTTCCCAGGTTTCAGGGCCCTACTGGCTGAGACTGGTAGGGAAGACTGCCATGTACGGCCACATGCTCACTTCTTCGTATGTGACTCTAGGCAAGAGTGGGCCTGGGCCCCACCTTTGTCAACTAAATACATTTGTCAAACTCCCTTAATTTCCTCTGAGACATGCTCAGGGTACCCTAGGGGAGGCGCTCTGGGGGAGGTGTTTCCGTCTCTGTGGACTGCTGTCTGCTTGATGTTATCTCGTGTATCCAGGGTACTTCCTTGAGTTCCAGAGCCCTCTCCCACTCTATCTTCCACTGTCTCTCTTTCTTTCTCTTGCTGCCACCTTCCTTTCCCCTTCCCCCTTTCCTTTCTTCCTTTATTTTTTGGAACTTTTTAAAATAGTACTACAGATCAGACAAGAGAGGAGGCAACCATGGTTTTCTACATATAGAAATGTAGAACATATAGAAATGTCTACATATACAGGTGGAGACCTCTATGCACACGCTCATGCTAGGCTAAAATAGTCAATGAAACCAAAGGGCAGGTGGGTTTGCGGTCAGATTCCTCACACCTGGGTCCTACTCTATAGTTCTGAAGTTGAAAACTCAGGGCGACTATGTGGTAGACTATTTTCCACTTTTTTGTGTGTGACACTCAGGATTAAACCCAAGGCCTATGCACTTACAGCTTCAGCCCTTTAAAAAATAGCATGGGTGTGTGTGTGTGTGTGTGTGTGTGTGTGTGTGTGTGTGTGTGTGAGAGAGAGAGAGAGAGAGAGAGAGAGAGAGAGAGAGAGAGAGAGAGAAAGAGAGAGAGAGAAGATCTCACTAAATTGCTAAGTTGCCTAGGCTGGGCTTTAATCTTCCTGCCTCAGCCTCCCACACTACTACAGTCTGTGCTGGTTATGACTTTTGTGTACATGTTTTTCAAGATCCAGGGTCCTCCTGCTGTCTCTTGGAGTAGTTTCAGCCACCTGGATCATCAGTCCCAGCTCCCGCTCTGACAGTCTTTCACTGTATACCTTCAGATGCTGCAGGGGTGGGCATTTGTCTCCACTTTGGAGGATTCCAAGGTGCATCTAGGGCATGGGAATCTGTTCTAGACCTTCAGGTTATTTCCAGCAGCTGGGCAAACGGAGCTGGGCCCATCCTGCCCAGGCTAGCCTGTGTCCTCCTTCCCCTCATCCCTGAGGGTGGAAAGGAGGATCAGGTCTACATCTACAGTCCCCCAGCTTCCCTTAACTTAGGTTAGACCTCAGTCTAAGTTTTGTAAGGGAGTCCTTGGCTGAGAGTTGCAGTAAGGGGAGGCTAGCAGGGAAATTGGAGCAAAAATGTGGAGCAGGCGTGATCCTGGTAAGGGATGGCCCTGGGAAAGCTGACAGAAATGGCCTGAGAAGCTGCAGGGAGAGCCTGCTTATCTCAGTGATAGAAGATGGGTAAAAAGAGCCTTCCTCGGGGTCAGGAAGGGAGCGTTAAAGAAGTTGTTGATAGGATGCTTAAGTGAGGGCGAGTCTAGAGTTTTGTCTCCTTTGTATCTTATCATTCATGGCTTTTTTAAATATCACAAAAACAAACTAAAAACAGAATAATGTTACTTGGGATGCTTCCTCTTTAGTTCTAGATGTGACCTTGTATGTGTGGATGATTAATGCTACATTGCTGTGTATTTTGCCTCTGAAATCTTAAGCGCTTTCTACACTTTTGCCTAAAATGTGCAAGTCCACTCTTCTATAGAAGCTGTTTTGCTTTTTGTTATGGAGATTTTCAGAAACGCAAAGGTCAGTCCTTGGGTCCTGTGTGCCATCCGCTGGCTACAGTCACCAGCCACAGTTAACCTGGTTTCATGTACAGTTTCTTCTACCTGTGATGTTTATTGAAAGTCCAGCTGGGCTGCTTTGAGATACTGGAACTCTGGCGGTGATAGTTGTGTGGCGTATTAACATTATCAAATATGCTTTTTGCTTTCATAACTAATGAAGTCCCAGAAATGGACCTTAGAAGTGAGTTTTCAGAATTAGTAAGGAGACTCAGAGATAAAGGGATTCTCTGTCTCCCCCACATCCTCAAAAGGAGAGACTGTTCAGTTATAAAAGTACTATAAAGACTGTGATGTAGTCAGGCGAGGCCTGCACTACATAGTGAGACCCTGTCTCAAAAACAGAAACAAAAACCAAAACCCTCCAATGTAAGGTACTTGAGACCCTTCACTGTAAAATCGGTTTTTTTTTTCCTGTGTTATATAGAGGGTTGTGTGACCATTAGGATGGTTATCAGCTTGTCCTGGTTTCATAATACAACTCTGGTCTTGAAAGTATAATTTGGAAATCATTTTGTTCTGTGAAAATAACCTCCCAAAAGTAAAGTAATCACTAATTGTTGTACTTGATAATTTTACATTTTGGTAATAATACAATTATTTCTGTGTTCCTAAAACAGCATAAATTGTTGTTCGCTTGGATGCATGTTGAAAAAATAAAACCATATGTCTCTGTTATATTTCTCATTTGCAGAAAATAATTGGAAAGTGGTTGGACAGTTGAAGGACATGTACATTGGCCAAGTCAGTGTTAGGAAACTTGGGACACATCTGTTACTTGTTTTTTTTTTTTTTTTAATACAAAAGATGTTAATATATGAGTTGTTTTTTCTAAACTAAAACCTTAATATGCAGGTTTATTGCAGTGTTGGTACTCTGTGGTACATAAGTGGGTTTTGGGTACAGTGTGGGCCCTTATTTTTAAAAGGTTCACCATTACTGGCCTAGATATGTGATTCCCAAGCTCAGACTCCCATACAGAAACATATGAAATCCTGATTTCTAGTTTTTTCCCAGATATTGAAGTTCTTTGGTTATAAGACAAGCTATGTAGTCTTGGTTTTGACAAGTGTACTAGTTGCATCATGTGGGAATTCTGTGATTCTCAACTTTCAGAGCGCATCTGAATTATGTGTGGCATCCTGATAGAGCCACACATTCTGATTCAGATTCTGATTCAGCACTTGGGGGGTGGAGTCCAAGGTTCTGCATTTTCAACAAGCTTCTGGGTGATGACAGTGTTGACAGTTTATGGACTACACTTGGAGTTGTAGGGAAGGTGACCTTGAAGGCCCTTCATATTCAAGTAATGGCACCCAAGCTTGGTTGCATATTGGATAGATCTGGAAAACTTAAAAACATTGTTAGAGCTCCACACCAAAAAAACCCAAACAAATCAGAATGAGGAGAGATTGATTCAGCCACAGAGACTTCAAAAGTTTTCCAGATTATTCTGACATCTAGCTAGACTTGAGAACTGGGTTCTTTGATGCTGTTCACTTCGGGTCTATAACAAAGATCATTTTTATGAATCAAGATAAGACAACCACAGTGACATCCAAATATCACATGAAACTTCTCAGCAGAAAATGATTGCAATAAAAGGCAAATTATTAACTGACAAAATAAAATTGGCTTGTATGATAAAAGTCTTAAATAACTACATCATGTTCAGGGCGTAGTAAATACTCCAGTGTTGAACTAATTCATTCCTAGTCTGTATTCAGATATTATGGAACTAGGTTGGTAAATTTGGGAAATGGGTCAAGTTGTTTCATAAGGACATCTGTGATAATTTTCTGAGGCTGCCATCACAAAGTACTGCACAGTGGCTTGTTTATGCAACAAGTTTATTTTCTCAGGTCTGGAGGATAGAGGTCCAAAGCCAAGGTATTGGCAGGATTGGCTTCTCAGGGTCTCTATCCTTGGCTTGCAGATACATTTATTCTTGTGGTCTCATATCCTTATCTTTTAAAAGGACATAAACCAAATTGAATTGGGAACTATCCCAATGAGATCAATTAACTTTTATTAAAAGCCTTGTCTCCAAATAGAACCATATTCTAAGGGTCTGAGGACTAGGATCACAACGCACAAATTTGGTAGGTAGGTAGAGAAGTGATACAGCTCAGTGTATAACATCTTAAATTATACTTCTTTAACATGCGGATACTTTGCGTGTTATAGCAGTTGCTTTTGTATGGCTTATGTTCCAGGGACTGTTCCAGAATCTATGAGGATTAATTTATGAATCCTTACCATACTATTATGAGGTAAATGACAAGTGATATTCTCAATGAGGAAATACAGTAAAAAGAATTTAGGTAAATCAAGTCAGAGCCAGGCTATTTATTCATGCAGTCTGGTTCAAGAGTTCACATATGTATAGCTGTTCCCCCAAAACAGGGCTCATGATTAGTTATCAAAAGAAATATGTTCTCATTCAGTTTCCATTATTTATAGAGAAAGACATATACAAAAGTAATATTTCATACAAAGAATAAAAAAGCTTGATGCTCAGAGGGCCAATAAGGGAGTGTAGAAGGATGTAAGTTGGCGTAGCTGCTCTGGAGCTCCAGCTGATTGCTCACCTGGGCATCCTGTAGCTGCATCGTCAAGGAGAAGCAGGGTAGCAGGTCTTTATGTAGAACAATCTAAATTTGAATGTTGCAGGTTTCTGTTATCCTGCATATGGAGAGTAGCCTCCTTTTCAGGCCTAAACTTCCTCTTGGAATTCATGCAGAGCCTTTCTGAGTTACTATCTGGGAGAGGTCCTTTGCCCAATTCAGTTTATGCCCTCTTCACAGTTGAGCCTCCATTTTCCAGTACCCCCTTTCAAGTTCCTTATACCCAAAGATAGATACTGTATAGAGGAAAGGGTTTACTGAGCTATAGCTTTGGAGTCTCAAAGTCCAAACAGCATGTTACTGGTTCTGGTGAGGGCCCCTTTGCTGCATCACATCTTGGTAGATGGTATCCTGGCTGGGACACACGCAAGATGGAGATATCCCTTCACAAGGCAGCCAGAGTCATTCAGAAGTCAGACTTGGTCTTTTTTTTATAACAACCCTTTGTGAGAACTAAGCAGAGTTCCACAAGAACTATGTCAATTCCTTTTAAGGGAAGTATTCTCAATAACAACCTAGGCCCTACCTCTTAACAAATTCCCACTTGCTTGAACTAGTGGTTATACATGCATGACTGTTCCATTGGGCAGATTGCACCACTTTGTGGGACTGTCCTATGCTGCCCAGTGGGATAGTCATGAGCTGCCTGGCAGAGAGATGTATGAATTTTGGCCTGGTCATGCATATGTTAAAGGTCTTCTCGCTGTCTACCTTTGTTCCTGTGAGCATTAAGATTCCAACACATGAACCTTTCGGTGGTAAACCCAAACCACATCAAAAACAGCATACAGTAGTATAATGTATCTCTATCCAAATTGTTGGAGGAACCATTCAATGTGGGATTCATTCCTTCCTATGGGCTCATTCACTCTTTATGTTCTGTATGTATCCGTCTCTATTGATGACTTTGGAGACATGGTTATGAACAAATACAACTTTGAAATCTTCTGCCCCCTGCTAGGTTTCAACCTCTTCTAAACTTTTGGCTTGTTCTTTTAGTCAAACTGCTTCTTCCCTGCTTTCCTGCAGGAACTGCTGAGTGCCTTCGACCCATATAGACTGAGGAAGGTGCTAAAGAGCCTGCCTCATCCTTGGGCTTTACATATGATTTCAGAAGGCAATCAGGCTCTTCCTGACCGGGAGCACGAGGACCTCATAGAGTATTCTAGTTATGAGGAGTCCTCAGGTCTGTTTTCAATTTTGGGTTTTATTACAAAAGACCCTCTCATGACCTGCCGAATGTTTTGGGAGTACGCTAGGTTTGTTCCATGCTGTGGATCACAGGAGAGAAAAATAAGTGGCCCTTGCCACCATTGGCTTACCCAAACTTTCTGAACTTCTAGTTCTCTTCTTGCACTTTGGGCTTCCTCTCTTCTGCTGTGGTGATTTGTAGTTGAGGAAAGAAACACTCTGCCCTGAGGAGGCATTTAATCACCTGAGGAGAAAACTTCGGCAAAAACGCTTGCTTCTTTGAATATCTGGAGATGTCTTTCTACTCTTTTATACCTGGAAATTCTCAGCCATGGAGAAACACTGTTACCGATGATGGGTTCATATTGCTCAGGTGTTGGGGCAACAAAAATCTAGAGAACTCAGGTGATAGCCCATCTTTGTTTTTTAATCCATTTGCCCTTAGCATATTTGTACTGCTTTTGGAAACTTTTTCAATTATATTGTCACTATTCAGGTTCACAACTCATATCTGTTGATTCATTTTCACTGGAAATCTGGCCTTGTGTTAGCTCTGCTTCTCTTCTCCTGGTCAGTACCCTCCAATCCTGTGTTCAGCTACCAGATATTTAGGGCTCAAAGTTTGAATTTCCTCTTCTCCTTCCCATCCTGGCCCTTAGCAGAGGTTTGAAAAATAGAAGACAAAATAGCTTTCTTCTGTGGGACACTTTATAGTTTACAAAGTACATTCACTTACAGTGTCTTGATTATAACAAGTATCCTACAAGAAGATTCAAACACATAAATTAGCTAACCAAAATTGCAAAACCAGTAAGAGCAGAGTTACAGCTTTCAACTCACATTTTCTGATTCCAAATTCCATCTGTTATGACTGAGTCTAGATCCCCTACCCCATCCAAAGCTTCATGCAATCATAGGTGGAGATTTTTCAGAGATGGCTGGATCTAGAGTAAGTGATGCTGGGATTGATTCATGGTGCAATGCTAGGATCAAGGGCACTAGGATTAGGGGGTGAGTACTACCCACCTGGACAAGCCTGGGGTAGAAAGAGCTATGGTCATTCCTTGATGCTTTGCTAACTCTGCCCTTCAAGAACTTTTTCTCCTCTGTGATGCCACTCTGCTTTGGAGCCAGCCGATTATGGACTGAAGCCTCTGCACAATGTTGAGCTAAATAAACCTTTCCTCTTTTAACTTTGGATGTTGGTATTTTGTCTCAGCAATGAGCAAAGTAAGACACCATCCATCCATGGGATAGTGTACGTCTTGTCCAGGGAAGATAACTGGATTTATACGTCTGGGCACCTGTTGGCACAGGACTTCTATTTAACTCTAAACAGCAGTTAGCCAATCAGTTAGAGGTGACATGTGATAGGTACCTTCTTTACTATGCCAAACAGTGGCCATGCTGTTGGAATTCAATTAGAAGCAAGACTGACTTGAATCAGAGTGGTGGCTAAGGCTCCCTTCGGTCATACTGTTCTAGTGTAGGACTGGCTATGGATCCTGCAGATGGAGGCTGGGCAAAGTTTTGGGCTCTATGTGTCAATACTTGCTTATGAGTGATTAGAAATAGGAAGAAAATTGCTAACATAACAAAGAGTCAAGTTATTCAGGGTCATCGTCTTGCATGGCTCAATGCTATTAAGGCTCTGAGCCCAGCTCTCTCTTTTCTCTTGGATTTGCCCTTCTGATTCTCCAGCATTAAATCCTGACCCAATTGCACTTAAAGGCAAGAAAAAGAAAGGACAGGAAGCTTTCTCAGTGTTTGTTTTTAGGAGGGAAGGAAACCTTTGCCAGTAGTCCCTAGTGGATTTTAGGAGACTCGAGACAGGTCCCTTGGACCAGCATTAGGTTACCC